TATTTAAAATATTAAATTATCATAATATAAATATAAAAAAGAAGAAAAATAATAATTTTAAATAAGAAATATAAGATGAATATTATGATAAATCAGTTTATTTGGGCAATAAAGAAGCTTAAAATTTTCCGAAAAAAATAGATTATTAATATAATTAATAAAAAACAACATTTCAAATAAACTAATCAAATTATGAAAAACCTTGTAAATTTTCAAGTATTTATAAAAAAAACAAAAATATTTAAATATTAGGTAAATAAATATAAGAATCTGAATTACATAAATAATGTTTAAATGATATAAATTTATTAATAAATGGTAAATTATCAAGTTAATAATTTAAATAAAAAATGCAATAAATTGGAATTGATTGCATAGACATTAATAAATAATTAAATGAATTAACTTCTTCTAATTAGGCAAGCTAAAGCAAGATAATATCGCATATTTATAAGTCAATATAGTTAAATAAATAAGGTAAAAAAAATATATATTTTAATTTTATATTTTTTTTTAGATAAAGAAAATAGTTAAGATGATTAGTAAAAATCAACTAAAAGTACATAATATTATGAATATAAAAAAAATGCACTCGAATACTATAAAGCACAAAAGTAATTTTTAAAGAACTATATAAAAAAATAAATTATCTAAATTAAAAAGCAATAATGGATAAATTTTAGCATGGGATTCTGAAAAAAATAATTGTAATGAATAAAAAGAAATAAAAGATTACAAAATTTTAAATCATAATATAACAAATTTCTAATTAGAATTTGATGAAAATATGAATAAAAAGATTTAAGATGAAAATTAAAATTAAAATTTTAAGAAAATATTAAATAATTATTGTATTTAATATATATTAATGTTTTTTTATTTTTTAATATAGAAGCTCAAGGGATATATTATAATATGAGAGTGAAAATATATAAGTTAATAGAAACCAAAATTAATAATTAAAGTATTTTATATAAAAACTTAAATTATTTTATGCAAAAACAAAAAGGGGAAATGGAAATATTATATCATGGGATAGATGAATAAAATTATATAAAAAAGAAGAATATTTAAATAATTTGATTAATAAATTTTAAATTATTATTTAAATAAATTATTTGTCTAAAATAAATTTTATTAAAAGTAAATGTAAATACTTTCAAGAAATAATATAATTAATTATATTTTTTTTCTTTATTAAAATTTAAAATGAATAAAAAATAATTATTTATAAAATATATTTTATATTAAATTATTTATAATAAAAATATAATAAATAATAATTATATTTAATAAATATATATTATTTTAATAATTTGTTTAAATTAAAATAATATATTTTGTATATTAGTTGTGCATTATTTAACTAAAAATAAATTTTAAAAGATAATAAAAATAAAAAATTTTGTTTATTTATTTTTAAATAAAAATATCAAAAAATATTTAACCATAAAAATTTATAATACGATAAAAATATTTATAAAAGAAAATTACTTAAGTAAAATTTTAAACATAAAAAAATAACTTTTTAAAATGATTTTTTATAGAATATATAAATATATAATAAAAAAAGCCATAAAAATAAAAAATGAAAATAATTATCTAGTACAAATTTTGTGAATAAACACAAGAAAAAGAATTTTGCCCAAATCTAATAAAAACAACTACTTAATTACTCGATTTTATCTATAATTTCCTAAATATTACCCCTTAATAAATAAAAAACACAAAAACGTACTTCTAATCTAATTTTTATATCATAATATGTCCAGATTGGCCTTTAGAATTTTATGAAATAACTCAAAATTCTGTCATAATAATAACCCTTAATAAACCTGAAGGTAAGAAATTCGTTAAAAAAGAGCATGAGAACAAAATTAATCAAATAATAAATAAAAAAACTGACGAATTACAAGTATTTTTAAGTAAATTTATCAGCCCAAAATATGAAAAAAACATGTAAAAATTTCTGAATACATATGATGTTTAAGGCTGGTGTATTATACACTATATCGTTTATTTAGATTTTAGTGAAATTTTATCAGAATTTCTAAAAAAAGATCTTAATATTCATTCTAGGACTAAAAAAGAAGGACTATCGGTTATATAAATTTGCTCTATTAGAAATAGCGAAAATTCATTTAAAATTATATGCCAGAAAAGGATTTTTGGAAATTTTTTATAGGAAATAATTTAAGTTATAAATCCGAAAATGTTAGAAGTATTTCTATTTTTTCATTCTAATATATAAGATATTTCTTATTTTTTAGAAAAAATTGATTGTTTTGAAAAAAAGCAAATACTTCATGAATATTTAAAAAAAACACAAAATATAAATTTTAATGATAATAAGGAATTTCATGCTCAATAAAATACAAAAAATTAAAATTTGGATAAAAAAGATTTAAAGAATACAAAAAACTTAAATATATAATGCTATTTAGATAATCAAAGTTAAAAAATACATCAAAAATAAGAAAATCAAGATAAATAAGATTTAAAAAAAATACAAATTTAAAATATTTTAGGGTATTTATATAAAGAAGGCCAAAAAACAATAAAAATGAGACAAAGATATGTTTTTTTGGATGTAATAAACGGCTTTTTGTACCGCTTTAAAACAAAGGAAGATTTTCGTTTGAATAATTATATTTAAAAAACTAGATTAGAAGAAATAATAATGATTAAAAAAGTGGAAAAAAAGAAACTTTTTTGGAATAAAAATTGGTTCTTTTTTGAAATTTTTCTTTATTAAAATAATTCAATGGTTTTTGCTTCTGAAAATTCAAAGTTAGCAGAATTTTGGATTATAGGAATTTTCGGAGGATGTTTTTGGAATTTATATAGAACTTTTAAAGGAATATAAGCAGATTAATGGGAATAAAAGAATATATTTTTAGATGATTTTTAATAAAATAGCGAATAAAATAATGTTTTTTTTGAAAATTTTTTAGGGAAATAGTATTTTTTTGGAAATATTTAAGAGGCTTTTTGTAAATGGAATGAGAAATAAAAAATAAATTCTAATGAAAAAAACATAGAGATTTTTAATGTTAAGTAATTAGATTTTCCTCGAAAACTTTAAATTTTCGGAAACTGTTAAAAAATAGAAAACTACCTTATTTTAAAAAAAATAGGAAAAGGAGCATTTTCAGACGTATATAAAGTCTAAAATAAATAAAATGGAAATATATATGCTATGAAAGTAATAAAAAAAAGCTTATAAAATAATTAAATAGGACTAAATGAAATTAATATATTAAAATAAATAAAATAAAATAAATTTATAGTAAATCTTTATTAATCTTTTTAAGTAAAATATAATATAAAAATAATAATATATATATATAAATATATTTATATATCTTTTATAGAATTTAAATTATTTATTTATTATACTTGATTTTTGCGAAGGAGGTGATTTATAAAATCTTATTAAAAAAAAGGAAATTTTAATGATGAAAAATGTAGAAAAATTATTGGGGAAATAATCTAAGGGTTAATTTATTTACATGAAGAATAATAAGTATTTGTTAGAGATTTAAAACCTGCTAATATTCTAATTTGTAAAAATGGACATATTAAAATTGCTGATTTTGGTTTGGCTAAAAAAATGGCTTCTTCAAGTCGTTTAAAAGTTTTTGTCAAAAATTCTTTTAAAGGAACTCCTGCTTATTTAGCTCCTGAATGCATAAATAATTAATAATTAGGTTTTTTTACAGATCTATGGGCTGTTGGAGTTATTTATTTTGAAATTTTAGTTGGGAAAAATCCGTTTTTAGATGAAAATGTGTCTAATGTTTATTAAAAAATTTAATAATAAGATATTACTTTTCCAGATGGAATAAAAAAAGAAACTAAAAAATTTATATAGAAACTTCTTTGTAAAGATTTTAATAAAAGGTTAGGTAAAGAAAGCATTTTTGATGTAAAAAACAACAAGTTTTTTAATGGATTTGATTGGAGTTTTTCAGAAGGTCCTTTTTTCGGAGAAATTCAAAATGATAATGATAAAAACATAGATTTTTAAGAAGATTTTGGTTAAAACTATAATTTATTTAATTTTAATAATAATAAAGTAAAAAATTTTAGTTTTGATTCTAATTCTTAATATTTTTGTTGATTTTTTAGTTTAGTTTATATATTAAAAAATGTATATTGTATTAACATATTTTAGTTAATTTTTTTATTTCTATATATATATATATATATATATATATATATATATATATATATCTTTTTTTTAATATTTATATTTATATTTTCAATTGAATTTAAAAGAAGAACTTATTTTTTAATTAATATTCATATTTTTTTTTTGTAATTTATAATTATTTTTATAAAAAATTAAAAATTGATTTTTATTTGTTCTTTTACAGAATTAAAATACATTTATTTTTCACTTTTATATTAGATTAAAAATTTAAATATTAGTTTTTTCTTTAATATTATATAAATATATAAATTTCATTTTACATATAGATATATATACTTTTTATTCTTTATATAATTATATTATTTATTTAAATATTTTAATTAAAAATTTTATTCTTATGATATTATTATTAATTTAATATTTTAACTTCATTTATTAATATTTTATAAGTATTTTTTATTACATAATAATATTTTCAATATTAAATATTTTTTATTATAAGTATTATATTATTTTAATTTAACAATTTAATTTATTTTAATATTTATTCATTATTAGATATATAATTTTTATTTTTAAAAACTTCATTTATATATAATTAATTATCACTTTATTATAAATTGTATATAAAAAAAAGTTCTGATTATTTGATTAATTTATTTTATTTAATGAAATTGAATTTTCTTTCACTTAAATATAATAATTAAAAAAAATAGTTTAGATTATATATATTTTTAATTTTTTATTTTTTTCGTGTGCTAAATCTATTTGTAAAAAAAAACTAGAATTAATTAATATATATATAAATGCTTTTATTAATAAACTTTTTTATACAAAAATATTTTCAATTAGTAATAGGACGCAAAGGTGCACATTTGACATTCTCATATGCTATATTTTATTCAATATCTTCATCTAATTCTCCTATTAAACATACATTATCCCCTCTTAAAACATATAAACCAATTTTATTAAATTATACTCCTTATTCTAATGAATAAACTCTTTCGGTACATTCAGATAATACTGAATTTAGTGCTTAATCAAGACCTTTTAAAATACCTTTTTTTATTAATTTATAAAGTTATTATTTTTAGTTACTTTTTATTTACCAACTAATATTCTGCCATCTGAAGTAACTATTTGAACTTTTTTGAAAAGTAATTTTTCTAAAGGATTTAAAATTTTCATTTAGTTATTTTTTTTTTCTTCCATTTTTTTTTATCTTTTTTTTTTAAATAAATTAAATATATAATTTAATACTTACATATATTAAAATAAATGAATATATATTTATTATTTTTTTATGATTTATAAAAAAAAAAATATGTTTTATTTAAAAAAGGAAGAAATTTTATTACTGCTTTTAATATTTTTACGATTTAATTTCATAAAATAAGCCTAAAAACAATTCCTTTTTAATATTTATAATTTTATTTTATGATATACAAAAAATAAATATTTATTATATCTTATTTATAATTTCTTATATTTTAGTATTTTTATTAAATGTTAAAATTTTTAATTTTTTGTCTAAAATTTATAAATTATAATATAATAAGTATAGCTTTTAATTAAATTATTAATTTTTTTATGTAAATATATATAATTTTTTAAAAACTTTATTTTTATTTTAAATTTCAGTTCAAATTATATTATAAATTTTAATTTTTAGTATATTTGATACCTTTATATTAGTTAATTTGATTTATTACTGATTAAATTGATAAATAATTCTTTTTTTAAATATATTAATAAACTTTTCATTTTAATTAATAAAAACTTTATCACTAAATTAATTTTTTAAATAAAATAATTATTAAATTGAATATTTTATTTATTAAATAGATGTTGAAAAAATAATAATAATCTTATCTTGAGTATTTTCATTTGATTCATATAAAAAAATTTGATGTTTATAAGTAAAACTTTAAAAATAATTTCTATAATTTCTAATATAATATTTTTTTATATAATTTTAATTTTTTTTTTTACTTCATTTACAATAATAAATCAAATTAATCATATGTTAAATAATAAGAAATAATATAAATAATTTAAAAAAAAAAAAAATTATCTTTTAATTATAGTTAAACAGTTTTTTTGGAATATATATTTTATTTACTAATATTTATAGAGTTTATGTTTTTAATTAAAAATATTCATATTTATTCAAGTATATATTTAATGTTTTTATAAATATAAAAGATAATATAAAATAATATTTATAATTAATGAATTCTAATACATAATTATATTTTTATTTAAAATTATGTATTATTTTTGTTTAAAAAAACTAGTGTTATAATTAAAAATCATATATAGAGACATATATGAAAAATAAATGAATAATATATTTAAATATAATATAAAATCATATCAATAATGAAATGAGAACTAAGCATACTGAGACAAATAATTATTAAGCGAAACTAGATTTTTATGTAGTTAATTCTGATTCAGCATTTTAAGATTTAGTAGTACTACCAATAACTTAGACTTCAAAGTTCTTGAGAGATGATTTATTAGAATCATTATTGGCTAAGGTTCTGACATTCTTATTAACAGCTTCGATAGTAAATTAAATTTAAACAATTGCATTAAGAGAAGGTTCAACCAATTCAATAGCAAGAATAATAACTCCTGGATTTTTTTAATTGATAACAGTAGTCATTTTGGTGAGGTTAAGCACACTGCTTTCGCTTTTGTAAAGGACTCTATTAAGAGTGAGTTTTTTACTTAAAGTGCTGTCAATAAACCAAACTTTAGTGTATAATTTATCATAAATATTAAAGACTGTGTCAGCTCTAATAGTTTTACAACTTTCATCAGAACAAATTTATGATTAAGTATCTAAATCAACAATAACTTAACATTGAGAAGATTAGGTGCCTTCTTTATCACAAATATCAGTTATTTATTTAGTAACATTTAAAGAAAAAGTTTCAATGACATTTCTGTTTGTGTATACAGTGATTTAGAATTATATTTATTTGAGAACTCCTCTTGAGTTTCCTAAGTCCAAAGCAAAATTAAGTACTTAGTAAGTTTGACTTCCTTTAACATTGGTGGAGTAGGCATAATTATAAATTTAAGATAAAGGAAGAGAAACTAATAATTATTATACATTATTACGTTTTACGTAATTAGTGGAGAATGGTTAATATCCATCTTATTCGTTTTATTCAATTAATAATTTAGCAGATAAAGATTATTAACAAATTTCGTCAATTGTTGTACGATTAAACTCGAAGTCAATAAGAATATATAATTATTACACATTACCAACTAATTTAGAAGATGAATTAGTTACTACTACAATATTTTTAATTTATTAATATAAATCTCTATCACAATCGGAAAATTCAACATATTATTCTTATTTTGTTATTCTTCAAGACGTTTTTATTCTTCTTCTTCTTTATGTTTTTATTCTTCTTCGTCTTTAAGTCTTTATTCTTCTATCTTTACGTTTTTATTCTTCTTCGTCTTTAAGTCTTTATTCTTCTTCTTCTTTATGTTTTTATTCTTCATCTTTACGTTTTTATTCTTCTTCATCTTTACGTTTTTATTCTTCTTCGTCTTTAAGTCTTTATTCTTCATCTTTACGTTTTTATTCTTCTTCGTCTTTAAGTCTTTATTCTTCTTCGTCTTTAAGTCTTTATTCTTCATCTTTACGTTTTTATTCTTCTTCGTCTTTAAGTCTTTATTCTTCTTCTTCTTTATGTTTTTATTCTTCTTCGTCTTTAAGTCTTTATTCTTCATCTTTACGTTTTTATTCTTCTTCATCTTTACGTTTTTATTCTTCTTCGTCTTTAAGTCTTTATTCTTCATCTTTACGTTTTTATTCTTCTTCGTCTTTAAGTCTTTATTCTTCTTCGTCTTTAAGTCTTTATTCTTTATCTTTACGTTTTTATTCTTCTTCGTCTTTAAGTCTTTATTCTTCTTCTTCTTTATGTTTTTATTCTTCTTCGTCTTTACGTTTTTATTCTTCTTCATCTTTACGTTTTTATTCTTCTTCGTCTTTAAGTCTTTATTCTTCTTCTTCTTTATGTTTTTATTCTTCTTCGTCTTTAAGTCTTTATTCTTCATCTTTACGTTTTTATTCTTCTTCGTCTTTAAGTCTTTATTCTTCTTCTTCTTTATGTTTTTATTCTTCATCTTTACGTTTTTATTCTTCTTCATCTTTACGTTTTTATTCTTCTTCGTCTTTAAGTCTTTATTCTTCATCTTTACGTTTTTATTCTTCTTCGTCTTTAAGTCTTTATTCTTCTTCGTCTTTAAGTCTTTATTCTTCATCTTTACGTTTTTATTCTTCTTCGTCTTTAAGTCTTTATTCTTCTTCTTCTTTATGTTTTTATTCTTCTTCGTCTTTAAGTCTTTATTCTTCATCTTTACGTTTTTATTCTTCTTCGTCTTTAAGTCTTTATTCTTCTTCTTCTTTATGTTTTTATTCTTCATCTTTACGTTTTTATTCTTCTTCATCTTTACGTTTTTATTCTTCTTCGTCTTTAAGTCTTTATTCTTCATCTTTACGTTTTTATTCTTCTTCGTCTTTAAGTCTTTATTCTTCTTCGTCTTTAAGTCTTTATTCTTCATCTTTACGTTTTTATTCTTCTTCATCTTTACGTCTTTATTCTTCTTCGTCTTTAAGTCTTTATTCTTCGTCTTTAAGTTTTTATTCTTCTTCGTCTTTAAGTCTTTATTCTTCTTCGTCTTTAAGTCTTTATTCTTCTTCGTCTTTAAGTCTTTATTCTTCTTCGTCTTTAAGTCTTTATTCTTCTTCGTCTTTAAGTCTTTATTCTTCATCTTTACGTCTTTATTCTTCTTCGTCTTTAAGTCTTTATTCTTCTTCGTCTTTAAGTTTTTATTCTTCTTCGTCTTTAAGTCTTTATTCTTCATCTTTAAGTCTTTATTCTTCTTCGTCTTTAAGTCTTTATTCTTCTTCGTCTTTAAGTCTTTATTCTTCATCTTTACGTTTTTATTCTTCTTCGTCTTTAAGTCTTTATTCTTCTTCTTCTTTAAGTTTTTATTCTTCTTCGTCTTTAAGTCTTTATTCTTCATCTTTACGTTTTTATTCTTCTTCGTCTTTAAGTTTTTATTCTTCGTCTTTAAGTCTTTATTCTTCTTCGTCCTTAAGTCTTTATTCTTTCTTCTTCTTTAAGTCTTTATTCTTCATCTTTACGTTTTTATTCTTCTTCGTCTTTAAGTCTTTATTCTTCTTCGTCTTTAAGTCTTTATTCTTCTTCGTCTTTAAGTCTTTATTCTTCTTCGTCTTTATGTCTTTATTCTTCTTCGTCTTTAAGTCTTTATTCTTCTTCGTCTTTATGTTTTTATTCTTCTTCGTCTTTAAGTCTTTATTCTTCATCTTTGCGTTTTTATTCTTCTTCGTCTTTGAGTCTTTATTCTTCTTCGTCTTTAAGTCTTTATTCTTCTTCGTCTTTAAGTCTTTATTCTTCTTTAGACACTGTTTCGTCGTTTTATCCTTTATCTTTTTCTTAAATATCATCTTTAATTGGTTCTTTTTCAGCTACAGGATCTACATTTGCTGTTTATTATTATTAAGCAATATCTATATTATTATTTTCAACTCCATTTTCTTTATTATCATTATTTTCTTATAATCTTCTTAATTTTACTAATTTATTTTATTAGTTATATATATATTTTTTTTTTATTTACTATTATTCATTTTACTAAAATTATTTACGCTCACTTTTGTTTATATTTATAAAACTAAAAGGGCAACTAACAATGCTATTATTATTTTTTTATTCATTTATCTTTATTTTTTATATAAATTTTATTTTTTAAATATTTATTAAACTAAGTAATTTATTATTTATATGTTTTTTTTTTTTTTAAGTATACAGTTTTAATTTAAATTTATTTAAGTTTTTTCAAGCATTAATATAAAATATATTCACGTTTTTTTTTAATAATATTTTTTTATAAACTTAATTCGTTATCTAATAATGATATATTTTTTTTTTTTCAGTTTATTTTATATATATCTATTAAATGTATTTCTTTTAATTTTAGCTTGAATTAATATTTTATTTTATTTAATTTAGTAATTAAAATAAGTTATTTATTAATTTTTTATATAAATAATCTATTAGATTATTATAATATTTCTTAATAATAATCTATTTTTCTTTTTATTACAATTTTTCCTATATTTATTTTCATTTTATGTTGTGTATGTTATTGATCATTTTTTTATTCTTCACATCAACTATTAGAATATTTTTCTATACAAATACATCATTATTTTCCTTATCTATTTTTTTTTGGAAATTTATAATATTAGCTAAAATTATATTTTTGAATATTTGATTTAACTTAATTAAATTAAAAATATATTAATATTTAATTTATATACAATATACTAAATAATAAATTACTATGTTTTTTTTTTAAATAAATTAAAAGTATTTATTTATTTTTAATTAATAGATTTTTTTATCAATTTTTATAAAATATAATAATAATTTTTATATCATTTTTATATAAATGTATTTTTTAAATTTTATATAATTTTGTTTTAAAATTTATAAAATTATTTTTTAAATGAAAATAAATAAAATACCTATTATAAAACTGAACTTGTATAATTTTTTTTTATGAATGTCAAATGTTATGTTTTTTTAAATTAAATCAATTTTATTTATTTAATATTTAATTTTATAAATATGTATAATAATTATTTATATTTTAAATTTTAAATTTATTTTTTTTATAATTAAGTTAATTTCAAGATTAATACTATTATTTTAAATATAAATCTACTAATTAATATTTATATTTTTATAATTAATATTAATAATATAAAATTATTTTTATATTTTTTAAAATAATATTACTTACATTTATTTAATTTAAAAATTTATTAAATAACATTATTAGACTTTATACTATAAAAATAATTTTATTATACAAATTAATACAAAATTACTTCATACAATATTTATAAATTTTAAAAAATCTAACTCAAAAATCAATTTTAATAAAATTTATAATAAATTTTTAATATATCATATAAAATTAAATAATAAAATTAAAAATATATTTACTATATTAACTTAATGTTATTAAAAATTATAATAAATATAAATTAAATTCTATATTTAAAAGACTTCATTTTTATATTCATTTAATAAAAAATAACTATTTTTTTTATGATGAATATTATATTCTAAAATATTTATTTATTTTTATAATATTTTTGGATTTTAAATGCTTTTAAAAATAAACTGAAAATAAAATTAATTTTATTATATTAAAATATATTTAATATTTAATAAAAAATTAAAAATAACGGAAAATGTAATAATAATTATAATTATATAAAATTACTTATATTTTATTTTTTATGAAAATAAGAATATTTGACACCTAAAAATATATTGTAAATATAAATTATATTTACAAACATATTAAAATAATTTTATTTTTTTTATTCTTAAAATTTTATTATAAATTTCGTTAATATCTTGCTATTATTTTTAGTCAAACAAAAAAACAATAAAAAATAGCAATTAGATAATAAACTTAAATATGAAATAAATTTTTACTGCAATTATTATTAATTTTTTATAATTTAAAATTATTATATATACTTTAACAGCTCTCAATATTCCAAATATTTTTATTAAATATAGGAGAAATTTAATTTACTTTGTTTTCAAAAATAATTATTTATAAATAAATAAAAGATTAATCTTATTAATAATAGTAGTATTTGAAAATTTTGTCTTTCTTGAGTTTTAAAACACAGTATTTAAACTTATAACCCTGATTTAGTTAGTAATATTCATATATTAGAATTATATTAATTAAATATATTAATATGAAAAGTAAAAAGCGTTTATATCAACATGATTAAATTTAATAAAGATATAATATTTTTTTAATAAATAAGTTAATTTTTTCTTTAAAGTATATTTTTATATTTAAAATATTATTATAAACAAATAATATTACAAAAATTAAAATTTTGTTTTTAAATTAAAAAAAAAGTAATAAATTATTACAAATTAAAAATTATATTTTTATCAAAATAAATAATACAATAATAATTTTTTTTATATGCTTTTTTAAAATATTTCTAAAAAAGTAAATAAAAAAATTTTAATTATATTTTAATTTTTTATATTTTCTATTAACTATAATTTTTTATTTATTTATTATTCCTTTAAATATATAGATACCCTTAGATCTTTGAAAAGATTAATATTAAAAAAATTAGTGTAAAATAAGTTATTTTTTAATTTCTTATTTGTAAAATAATAGAAACTTGACTAAATTATAATTAATATTTAACAAACATTTATATTCTTTTTATATTTTTAAAAAAATTATTAATATACTACTAATTTTATTATATAAATTAATATATATAATAATAAATAGATGCTATCATAAATAATTTTCATGATTTAAAATTTATGTTTAAATCTTAATTTATTATTTTCTAAATTTTATATTTGAAATTTTCTTTAATATATATATTTTTTTTAATTAATAAAAAAATTTAATAATATTAAAAAAACATAAATTTAATGATAAGTAAAAGATTTTATTTGATAATAACTTAAAAATCTAAACTAATAACCTTAAATCGATTATAATAAATTTTTTTAATAATCAAAAAATAAATAATTTTTATTTATTTTTAGTTAGTTTATAATACAAAAGATAATAATACTAAAAATTTAAGATAATCATATTTTCTAATTATTTAATTTGCCTTTTATATATTAAAAAAAAAAATGAAATTCAATAATAAAATTGTTAAATTGTTTTTTGATTAATAAATATACATAAATAGCAGCTTTATTAGACCAAGGAACTAAACATATAAAATATTTATCTTTATTTAAAAACTTATTTGCAAAAAATTATTTACTAATAATAATTATAAATAAATTGTTTAAAAAATAATATTTTTTTGTATATATAAAAAAAATATATTTAAATTTGATATATTACCCGATATTTATATTTAAAAAACTTATTTTAAAATAAAAACAAATGAATCATTTTTAAATATATAAAATAATATTAATTTTAAAAAAAATATATTAATAGACTAATAAAAAAAACTTTAACATAATAAATAATATTTTAATGTATATTTGATTTTCATTTATAATATTATTTAATATATGTTTTATATTTAAAATTATATATATTTTTTTAAAAAAAATAAATATTAAATCTATAAATATTCATTTTATTTACATTAATTTATATTATTTTATTTTAATTTAAATTCAATTCAATTTAGAATCCATTAATTTTATATTAAATGATTTATTAATAGGTATTTTAAAATCTAAACTATTAAAAAACAAAAACTACTCATATTTTTTATATTAATTAATATTAGTAAAAAATATTTATTAAATATTAGAACATTTTGCTGGTTAAACTAGAATTTAATAAACTATTATATTCTATGTTTTCTATACAGTTATGATTCACACAAAATATTATAATTATATAGTTAGAAATTATTATAATTAATAATAATTTTACAAAAATTATTTATAAATGCATCAATAAATATATATATATTATATAATAATTTTGTAAATGTTTTTAATATATTGTTACTGAAATTTTTAGTATATTTATATTGTTTATTTTTATTTTTATTTCTTATTAAATATATTTTAGTTTAAAAATTATTTAATGAAATTATTGTTTTAGATTATTTATTTTTTAATTTGTATTTGTATTATATAAATTTTTTAAAACATATATCATTATATTTATTCTTTTAAACTTTTTTTATTATATTTTGTATCACATTAATTTTTGAATAACGTAATTTTAGACTAAAAATTCCTGAATTATTTTTATACTATAAATAAATTATTTTATCTTGCATTTTATTTAATTTATCACTAAATAATTCTCATTAAAATTACATATTTAGATATTTTGCCCAATAAAATTAAATATATTTATCACATTTTAATCTATTAACTAGACTTTTAAATAATATGAAATTGTTAAACTTTTAACTTTAATATTTTATTTACATTATTTATTTATTTATACCTTAAAAATGTAATTAATTGATTTTTTTTTATGATTATTTAACTTTTATATTTATTCATTATATATATAATAGTACTCATGTAATTATATTTATATATAATAATTTTATTAATTACTATACTTATTACTAAAAAAAATACTTTTTTAATTGTTTATTAATTTATAGCAATTGATTAGGTAGGGATGTAATTTTGTTAAAAAATATATTAAATATTTGTGGAATTTGCAATTAATTCTTTATATTTTGTTTTAAATAAAAAAATTAATATATACTTAACATAAGAATATTGTTTATTTTTTATTTAATTTTAGGGTATAAAATATATTTTTTTATATTTAAAGAAATTTATAAAATGTTATTAATACTTAAAGCCTTTCCATTTAATATTTAATTTTAGATGACAATAATATATATGACATTTTATTAATATAAATACTCATCTTTATATCTATTTTTAATATTTTTTTATTATATATATATATATATTACTTATTTAAATTAAAAATGAAATCTAATTTATAACTATAAAATAATAAATACATATAAAAAATACAATTTTTTAATTCATTTAAATAATAAATCATTTCTTTGGATTTTCAATTATCAAATAATTACATTTAAATTTTTTTAAACTCTTCAATTAAAAATTT